TTCCATGATTCTATGCTATGACTAACCGAAAGCCCTCTAAGCTGCTTTTGCTCCTGAGCTGCAACATAAAAAAAATCCATGGGCGTGAGGCCCACAGCTTCTCCTGCTAAGCACATGGAGAACACTTACCCGAGCCTTTTGTTTCTCTGCCTGAAGCTGAGCATCAATCTCCTCGGGGCTGGTGTACTGCCTAGCACGGCCTTTGTGGCCTCCTTTTCTACCTGCACAAAGAAATTAGGTCAGGAGTTGATTTAGTGCAAAGCTTCCACACACTCTGATCTCCCCTGGCCATCATCTCGCGGCTCTGGCCATGCAAAGTAGCAGCCAAGACAGCTCTTCTTCCAGAACAATGAAACACACCAGACAGATCCAATTCACCAACCTAGATGAGCAGCTTTGTGCCCCTTAAAGAACTGTAATGAACCACGAAACTGTTCAGAGGAAAGCCAGACAGACAACTCAGCTGCTAACAACCCCCTTTCCAAAGGGGGGACATCTTTAAAGTTCCATATTTAAGTCAGAGGACCCAGAAAAGCTTTGGTAGAGTCCAGCTTTCCCTGCCTTGCAGTCAGCCAGCTATCAGGGCAGTTATCACTGCCCCCGCCCTTGACTGCTATAAACGGATGCCTGCCTTGGCCACCTTGTTTGTCAGATGAAAATGCTGCTTCCAAGGGCTCAGGCAGCTCATCATGATGCTCTCCTTCCCCAGGCATTGAAACCCACGCATGTTGCCTCTATGACTCACTTCCTGGGCTGGCAACCAATCAGAAATCCCACAGCTGCTCTTTGCTGTCCCGACCCAGTAGGAAGCCACGGCTGCTGTAGAATACAGGGTGAGGGCACCTGTGACAGAGGTTTTTCTATAAACTCCATTCCCCAGGCCCTGCATGGCTGCAAGCGAGGACTAAGACCAAAATGAGCCAGCTGGAGAAGAGCTGCTGGAATCAGACCCTCCTCTGTGCACAGCTGCTAGATTAGGATCCCCCCCCCCCCCCCCCCCCACCAACCCTAAAAGAAAAAAAAAGGCGACTTTCTAGGACAGACCCCT